AATACCCTAGATAATATCTAGTCTAAACTATATTAATAAATATATATTATAATAATATATTTATTTATAGTTTAAATACTAGTTATATAAAGATATACTATTATTAATTATATTAAATAGTATTAATCTTATATTATTAGTATTATTAGATAAAGAGTAGGAAGTTAAGGCTATAATTATTCTAGAATCCCTTTTAAGTATTATTAATTACTATATTAATATTTAATAAATAATAATAATTAAAAGGCTTTTAATAGTATTTAAGTATAATTAATTAAATAAAAAGATTATAATTAATCTTTTAATAATATATCTAGATAATTAAAAGTAATTAATAATAAGTTTATATATAATAAAAAGGGTTTATACTAATTTATAAGCTTTATTTTATAAAATAAAGCTATTAATAAAGAAAGTAATAACTTAAAAGCTAAATATATTAAATTTAAAACTTAATATTAAGTAAGAGATTATATAAGCTTTCTTTATTACTAGTAATTTACTTAGTTTAATAAAGCTTATAAATAAGGTAGTTAGTAAGATAAAGAGTAATACTATTAGTATTATTATATAAGAGGATATACTAGTAATACTAAAGGATAAAAGGGTTTTTTTAATTTATATAAAGAAGTAAATATTAAAAGGATAAATATTATATACTATTATTTATTTTATATTTTATATTTTAAATATAGAAATTAGAAAAAAAGATAAAAATAAAGAAAAAAAAAAAAAGGTTATTTCCTTATAATAAACTCTTAGATTATATTAATAGTAATATCCTTATATAATAATAATTTATTAAGCCTTATATAAGTAATAGTAACTAGCTTTAATAAAGCTAATCTAGAAAGAGTTTCTTTAGCTTAATACTAATTAAGTTATTTATATAAGTATAAGTAAATAAGAAAAAAAGGTATTTCTAGGTTACCTACCTCTAGTAAACTACTAAACTTATACTAAATAATCCTATTATAGATCTAGTATATAACTTATAGTAAGTATATATTAATAGTATTATTTAATATCTTAAAGATAGAGTTTAATACTTTTATATTATTAATAGGTAATAGGAATTTATAATTTAGCTTAGTATTATAGCTAAGGTTATAATATAAAATATTTAGTTAATTAGTAATTTTACCTTCTTATATATATATATAATAAATATTCTATTTATATATAAAAGTATAAAAGTCTTTTTAAATTAATAGTATATATAAATTATTAAGGACTAGCTTTAGGGTATTTATAGGTAGGTATTATAATAGTATTAACTTTTTTATAGAGTAAGAGAGGAGGAAAAGCTAGTCTATCTATCTACTCTAGTATATAAAGGGGGTATGCTAGGGGTATGCCTATAGTAGCCTTAGGCTAAGCCTAGTCTAGAGTAGGCCTAAGCCTAACTCCTTTATATAAATAGAGAATAATAATCTTATTTATAAGATTATTAGTAAGAAATAAGCTATAGTTATTAAATATAAAGAAATATATTTAAATAGTTATATTAGTATATATATCTATAGTTATTAATAATTACTTACTTACTAGTATTTAATAGGAATACTTAGAAAGTACTACTATCTTTTAATATATATATTATAAATACTTTAGCTATATAACTATACTTTTATAAATATAAGCTCCTAGGATATTCCTTATAACTCCTAAAAGTATTATAACTTATTAGTATTATTATAAGTTTAGTATTATATTAATATATTATTTTAAAAGAGAAACTAATATAGCCTAGTAATAATAATAGTCTTATTACTATAATTAGATTATAATTAGGTAGGTATTATCTTTTATATATTTAATAGAGTAATATATTACTATATAATATTCTATAAAGTTATTATAGAAATACTAATATAGAACTAAGTAATATAATATAAATATATATTAATTCCTATATAAATCTTAAACCCCTATAGTTATAGCTTTTTATAGCTATTAATAGACTAAATCTAATTAAGACTATAGGTTTTAAAGTCTATATATAGTATTTTTACCTATTTCTAATAATCTTAAAGGTTTTTAAAGAATACCTTATAATAAACCTTATATAAAGTATTATAATTAATATTAATACTAGCTTTATATATATATATTATAAGGAATATTTAACTATTATTAATTATATACTACTTAGTAGTAAAATTATTCTAAAGATATATTTATATTTACTCTTATATAATATTTTAATATATAATATCTTATTATTAGTATATATTTTACTAATAGTAGATTAAGCTAACTTAAAATAGTAATAATTAGAAACCTTTATTAAGTAGTTACTTATAAATATTAAAGTTAGTAAGGTTCTAGGTAAAATATAATATTTAAATATATTTAGTAAGTTTATCTTAGTTATTTATTTATACTTATAAGTAAATATAGTTAGTTTATAAAAAATATTATAGTATTTAAGGATAAATATTATAGCTATAATTATCTTATAGGATATTATAAATCTTCTAATATATAAAATATAAGTTTATATATTAAATAATAGCTTCTTTAAATAAATTAAGGTTAATTATAG